AACAGAAACATCCAGTCCCATAAAAGCCATTGAAATGCTTTAAAGCCAGAGTTTGCACTGGTGGCACAGTCCCAGGAAGCTGCACTTTAAAATGACGCAGCTTTTTTTTCTGCTGCTGTTGCCGAATCAGGAAATCTCTCTACAGCACGCCACCAACAAACAGAAAAAAATCTGTGTTAAACTCCCTCTCCTTTATTTTTAAGCCTTCTCAGGTTTTTAAGTGGATTTAGCCCATCATGTCTGGGCACCACTCTGTAGTGATAGGAGCGGTGGGGCTGCGTCCCCGGCACCCGGCCGCCCGCATGGCTAGCTTATGCCCCAAAATAATTACACAGAAACTGTATTCTTTTAAACACTGCCTGGCCCGGCTACTTTCAGCCTCTTATTGGCTAGCTCTTACATATTAATTTAACCCATTCCTAATAATCTGTGTAGCCCATGAGGTGGCTTACCAGAGAAGATCTTAACCTGCGTCTGTCTGGAATGGGAGAATCATGGCGACTCCTCGACTAAGTTTCTTTCTCCCAGCATTCTGTTCTGTTTACTCCGCTTACCTAACGGTTGGCCCATCAAATGGGCCTAGGCAGTTTCTTTATTAATAATAAATCACTCCCACATCAAAGTTCTAGATAGTTGAGAACTCAGTGTAGCTATCTTTTTCTCCTATGCCCACATACCTGTGATAAAGTTTAATTTATAAATTTGTCACAGAAGAAATGAGTAAGAACATAAAAAGATAGAAAAACCAAAGCAACCTGATGTAATAAAAGTTATACCAACTTATAAGTCATGTCTAGAATTTTCTATGTAATAGTCTCAGACTAGTTACTGTGGAACTTCAGAAACAAGTCATGAGCAAAGGAAGGCACTAGCATGCCACACCTTTCTCATCTGTTGGACATTTGGACTGTTTCTACCTTGTTAATAATGGCACTAGAAACATATATGTAAGCTCTTGCTTAGATGAATGCCTTTATTTTTCCTGAGTGGAACTGCTAGGTTACAGGGTAACTTTATTCATGAGGTTTTGAGGAAGTTTTAAACTGGTCCACAGTTGCTGCACACCTCCACAACTCCCAGCCAGCTACTTTTTCATCTTTCACCACAGACTTGTCAGCGTTTGGTAGGTCTCTCTTTCCAGCTATTCCACTGCACATGGAGTGGTATTTCATTGTGATTTTAATGTCTCTGATGACTGATGTTATTAACCAGCTCTTCATGTGCTTACTGGCCATTCCTGTATTTCCTAAAACAAATGTCCATTGAAATGTTGTATACATTTAATTGACTTGTTTTCTTATTGTTTGATTATTATATAAATAATTTGAAAATATCTTTTCTACTTTTATGAGCTGTTTTCTCTCTTGGTGGTGTCCTTTAAAACCACAGAAATCATTAACCTTGATATTATCCTATTTATCACTTCTTTTGTTGTTTATGCTTTTAATATTACATATAAGACACCACCAACTGAATTCAGTTGGTGGTTTGAATGAGGATGGCCCCTAGAGCTCATACATTTGATTACTTGGTCCATAGTTTGTGGGACTGTTTGGGAAGCATCAGGAGGTGTGGCCCTGTAATAAGTGGTATGTCACTGGAGGGAGGAGTTTGCGGTTTCAGACACCTAAGCCCTTCCCAGTTTATTCTTTCTCTTCCTAATGCTTGTGGATCAGATCTAAGCTCTCAGCTACTGCTCCAGCACCATGTCTGCCTACCTGCTGCCTTGTTTTCTGCCATGATGATCATGGACTCTAAGCCTCTAAAACTAAGCAAGCCCCCAATTAAATGCTTTCTTTTATAAGTTTTCTTGGTCCTGGTGTTTCTTCACAACAGTAAAAAACTAACAAAGACACCAAAGTTATAAAGATTTACTTCTATATTTTCTTCCAAGACATTTGAAAGTGGTGTCTCTTACATTTAAACCTTTAATCCTTTTTAAACTAATTTTATATATGATGTGATATGGGTTGAACTTTATTGTTTTGTATGTGGTTACTCAGCTGTACTAGTTCTATTTGCAGAAGGAACTGTTTTTCTTACATACTCATTAGCCTGATTGCTGAAAATTAGTTGACTACTAATATAGGACTTCATTTCTGAACGCCTAACTACATTCCACTGGTCATGTCTTCTGTTCTTATGCTGAAACCATATTGTCCTGAATTATCAAATCTTGTCTTAAGTTTTGAAATCGGAGTGTGTGATCAAATTGGCTCTTCTTCTATAAGAGTGTTTTGACTGTTTTATACCCCTCACATTTACCGTTTGAAGTTTTCATTATTGATTTTTGTACAGAAAAGCACTTGGCACCTTGATGGTCATGCTGTTATGTCTTAGAGTCCCTTAGCTTAAATTGTACTGCTTTGCTTTAAACCAGTCTAAGAGATTGAATCTATTTGAATTACTTCTTATAAATGTAACTGGATAATATCTAATTTGTGTTTTCTGTTTACAATGCTTTTTTCCCTTTTTTCTTCTCTGCCTCTCTTTCTAGGTTCTATTATATTGCATGTTTTTTAAATTTTCCTTTTTTGCTTCCAACTAGTCTAGATGTTATACAACACAGCCCTCTTCTTTGGAGGGCTATCCTTATGTGCAAGCATATTAATCTTCAATTACTTTTCTGAACTCCTGTATCACTATTTTTAGAATTCTTCTGTTGGCCACACATGTCCTAATTATACCTCTATTTTATGAATAATTCAGTATCATTTATTTACTTTCTACCCTGGTCTGATTTGTTTCCCTCTTCCATTTTGTTATCTTGGACTATGAATCTTTCTTCTTTTTCACTTCTTTACAATTAGTCTTTAAAAAAAATCTCGGTACTAGAAATCTAACTCAGGTCTTGTGTCTGCTATAAAAGTTCTAGTTTTGAGCGCTCTATCCAGCCTCAGTTAGGCTTTGGGAGGTGATGTGGGAGTGATTTCTTATTAATAAAGAAACTGCCTAGGCTCCTTGATAGGCCAACACTTAGGTGGGTGGAGTAAACAGAAGAGAATGCTGGGAGAAAGAAGCTGAGTCAAGGAGTCGCCATGATTCTCCCACTCCAGACAGATGCAGGTTAAGATCTTCTCTGGTAAGCCAGCTCGTGGGCTACACAGAGTATTAGAAATGGGTTAAATTAATATGTAAGAGCTAGCCAATAAGAGGCCAGGCAGTGTTTAAAAGAATAACAGTTTCCGTGTAATTATTTCGGGGCATAAGCTAGCCATGCGGGCGGCCGGGTGCCAGGGACGCAGCCTCGCCGCTCTTATCACTACAGGGAGGAGAGGGGATCATGGTTCATTTATTTATTTTCTCTGTTTTGATTAGTCCTTTGAGAATTCTGTAGGATGTGTTTTGATCATCTTCACCCCTTCCCCAGCTCCTCCCAAATCCACTCCTCCTTCTTTGCTCATGCAATTTTTATCCTCACTTTTGTCACTGTGGGATTTTGTTAAACCCATCAAGTTGGTACTGTGTGTGTCCGTGGTTGTGTGACCTTCCACTGATTACCAGTAGCTCTTCATGCAGCATGGGGACTTCTTGCACTTTCCTTCTTCATGCTGGGGTCTGTCTGGCTTGAGCCTACATGGGTCTTGAGTTTATTTAGATGTATTTCATGTTTAGTAATTTGTTTATCTTCAGTCATTTTCATTCTTGTTTTTAGGTTAAATCTTTGCAGCATATTCTTTAGTAGCTTTTTAAGAAAAATTATATATTTTTTTCTTTTCTTTTTTTTTTTTTTCAAGACAGGATTTTTCTGTAGCTTTGGAACCTGTCCTGGAACTTGCTCTCGTAGACCAGGCTAGCCTTGAACCCACAGAGATCCGCCTGCCTCTGCCTCCTGAGTGCTGGCATTAAAGGCATGCATCACCACCACCCGACTGAATTGTAGTCTTAAAATTCCCTTTTATTTTGAAAGTTTTAATGATTTTCTGATAATGAGGGAAATCAATAACTGATAAAAAAAAAAACAAACAATTCCTAAGTTCTCTCTATTCAACTATTTCAGTAGCTTCAGACAGCACAGACCCAGCTTCCCACTTGAGTCACACTTGTTTGGGGTGTAATTTAATTGATGCTACTTTCCTGGGCACTGCTGTTGGTAAGTCATCTATTGCAGCTGTTTGCCAGTGCTCCAAGAACAGACACTTTTGATTTCTAGGATTATACATTCTTTTTGCTTGTCTTTGACTTCATGACAACTGAACTATACATTGAAAACATTGCTTAATAGGGTTTAGTTTTCCTGTGCATGCCTTTAATTTTAGTTATTCTTGACTAGTGAATGTAGTATATGAGATCCAATCTAAGTTTTTACATTAATTGCTTGTCTCTCCTAGTTTGGAATTCTAGGAGAATATTTGGGCTGATTATTTGATTTGGAAAATCTAATATTCTCAGAGACATAACTTTGGATGTTTTGGATGTTTTCTATATTTCAGAATCACTGCTGTTGCCATCTAATGTGGCAGGCCAGGTATATACAGCAACCTGCTTTTGTGCTCTGTCGAGTAAAGTCTTGCCTGTTCTGTTTATAGTCAGAAGAATTCTGTTTGTATCCAGGCCTTATCTGACTGTGACACAAGAGGCACAGAATTTGTCTTTGCTTAGCCATAAAAAGCCAGTGTGTTTCTCCGGGGGTGCCTTGCTGCATATTGTTGGGGCCACTACTATGTCAGCTCTCACCCATGTACCTTTACATCTACATGCTTTTTCTTAAAGCTAGGTGTAAAATTTTAAATAATGATCCTATTATTTTTATGGGGGTTTTGAAGGTGCATATGAGAATAAAGAGCAGCTCCTTATCTGGCTATTCTACTATTCCTGGAGACTGGGGGGTTAATGCCTTCACAGAGACCATGTAGTGGAGGCTAGACAGAAAGGTCTTGTTCAGGGGTATGGGCCAGAGTTTCTCTTTAGCTAAATTATTAGAAGCACACAATACCCATTTTAGTATATTGAGTAGATCTAGAGCAATATGCTAATTCATTTTTAATGTTTTTTTATAGACGCAAGTTTCCAAAAATAATACTGAAAAGAAAAAGCCCAAGGTTAGAAAGAGGAAAAGGTATGTTTTGTGCAATTAAAATACTAGAATACAATTAAGATGTATAAATTGTATTTAATTATTGTGTGCCATTTTCCCTAATTTTTTTCTTCACTGGGTAAACCTTGTGCTTAAACCTTTTTGAAAGAATTAGCAAGCTGGTAGTTAGAAGTGCAGAGAAGTTATGCTCTCTTTTACCTGGTCTGGTTTTCCAACCGGGTTTCACTATGTAGCCAAGGCTACTCTCAAGCTTACAGTCCTTCTGTCTCAGCCTCCCAGATGCTGGGATTGCCCCCACCATACTTGGCTGAAGAAATATTATAGTCCTATAAAAACGTTAAACTAGAACTTTTAAAGGTTATTATCATGTAAAAAGGTTTTTTTTTTTTAAAAAAAGATTAAAATAGGTAAGACAAGTCGGGGTCAAATCCCCATGATAAAGTGATAATTCAATGATGGTAAGTTTCAGTGTTTCTCATTGAGCTAGCCTTAGCATGTGATTTTCAGTATGTGACCACGTGTTCTAGGATTCCCACTTACAGATAAAGACTGATGCTAATAGTCCTCCTCTTGCCATATCTTTGCAGAAGAAAGCCACTTTTAAAATTAATTATTTACACATTTGCTTCATTTTATTTTGTTTTGTATGTATGATGTATGTGGGACATGTCCATCTGTAGCATATGTGGAGGTCAGAGGACAAGTGTTAGGGATCGGTTCTCTCCTCCCATCTGACAGGGTCTTGGTAACAAATTCAGGTTGTCATCTCTGTGCAAAAGTATCTCCACCCACTAAATAACTAATTCTTTTTTATTTTTATTTTTTTAGGTTTTTCAAGACAGGGTTTCTCTGAGTAGCCCTGGCTATCCTGGAGCTCACTCTGTAGAAAAGCTGGCCTTGAACTCACAGAGATCCGCCTGCCTCTGCCTCCTGTCCTGGGATTAAAGGCGTGTGCCACCACTGCCTGGCTAGATAATTAATTCTTGAAAATGGACATAGATTTCGTTGTCTCAATTACACACCACAGTAATCACATCCCACACACCACACACATGTGCAGATATCCTCAGTTAAGAGATGAAGAGACATGGCTTGCAGAACTGATTCATGGGAACTTCTGATTGGCAACAATGCATTGGCACAGATGTTTTCTGGCACTTGTCAGGAGCACAGTGTGATGGGAAAGTATGACTTTACCATCTGACAGAACAGGTTCTGTCATGGTCAGTGGTTTACCTATGGTGCCAAACTTCTCATTTCTTTTTGTAGTTGCAGTTCCTCAACCTCTTTACATAATGAGAACAGTAATCACATAACATGTTTTGGGAGATAATTGCATGAAGAATGCCTGTGCGACCGCTTGTTGAATTAACTTCCCAGTGCTCGGTAGCTTTTGGGGTCACAGTGGCTTTCTGCACCGAATTGTGCTGTGTGAGACAACCAGAAAAAAGCACCAAAGATTGAGACCTATAGAGTCACAGAATTCAGTTATTAAGAAACACACATTTGCATAAATATATACACGTGTGTATATGTACATGTGCTTACATGCATATGTATGTATATGTATGTGCGTATATATACCCTTATGTGTGGGGTTGCTTGTTTGAAACTAAATCTGTCAAAATCTTTTTCAGGAATGGTGCTTTAAGATGCTCTGTTGAAAATGTTTGTTCTGATGAAGCCTTATCAAAGGAAAGCATGGGTATGTGAAGGCCTGGGATGGCTTTAGTTTCTTTGCCTGGATATAATTTCAAACAGTTGTTCTAAGTAGGGTTCATGGGGTTTCACAGAGACTGAAGTAACAATCATGGAGTCTACATAGGTCATGTTATGGTTGTTGGCTTGGTGTTTTTGTGGGGTTGCTGACAGTGGGAATGGGGTGTCTCTGACTCTTTTGCCTGCTATTGAGACCCCTTTTCTCCTGTTGGATTCCCACACCCAGCCTTGATGTGAGAGTTTGTGTGGTCTTTTTGTATCTTGTTGTTCCATCTTTGGTTGATATCCCTGGGAGGCCTCCTCTTTTCTATGGAGAAACAGACTGGAAGAGTGGATCTGGAAGAAAGGGGTGGTGGGGGCACTGGGACCTAGGAGGGGAAGCTGCAGTCAGGATATATTATATAAGACAAGAATGAGAAATGTAGTTGGCTTTTAAAAAGCTATTGTACTTGCATACAAGTATAAGGTTATTAGGTCATCTTGGTGTCAAATGGGAAACTTTTCTATTTTCTTTAAGTTTCTGTCTTCTTAAGTAAAATTTCTCTGAAGTTGCCATATATTTAATGTTTTAAAATAAATCACTGACAGCTGTAGAGGAAAATTCTAGCAAGTGATCTTCAACCTAGACCTCTCCATCCCAAACCTATTGGAATCCAAAGAAAGGGGAGAATGGACCTCATAAGAGCCTGGGGCCTTGTCAGCGGAGACTGTTCTTTTGTTTCCCACTGCCCAGACCTGAATAATCACACAGAACATATTAATTACAACATTGTTTGACCTATCAGCTCAATTTTAAAATGGTGGATGTACCATTTTTGTCAGCTCTGGGGCCGCCAGGCAGGAGCTGCACTCGGCAGTCCAGCCCAAAGAATGAGTGTGCAACACATAAACATTTTTTATCTGAGTTACAGCCAAATCTGCTTCTCGGAGCACTGTGCAGCCTGGAAACATCTCTGTATGGTGGCAGGAATCCACCATGCTCTCCCGCCTGCCCAAGCCTGATTTCGCTGTCTGCCCAGGCAAGAAGAGCTGAGCCACGGGCATGGTCTCACCTCCTTTCCTCCCAATCCTGAACAGGCACACAAACACCCAGGCCCACAAATGCTCCATAGCTGGAGTTTGCACCAGTGGCAGTGCCCAGGAAGCCATGTTTTAAAATGGAGCAGCTTTTTTTGGGGGGGGGGTACGGCTGCTGTGTCAGGAAATTCTCTCTGCAGCACGTCACCAGCAAACAGTAAAAAGCTGTGTTAAACTCTCTCTCTCCTTTTTAAGCCCTCTCAGGTTTTCAAGTGGATTTAGTCCATTACATTGGGCGCCAATCTGTAGTATGGAAGAGCGGCGGGCTGCATCCTGCCACCCAGCTAGCTTAACCCCCAAAATAACCACACAAAAATTGTATTAGTTAAATTACTGCTTGGCCCATAAGCTCTAGCCTCTTCTTGGCCAACACTCACATCCTGATCTAACCCATTTCCATTAATCTGTGTATCACCACAAGGTGGTGGCTTACTGGGAAAGATTCAGCGACTCTGACCTGGCAACATCATGGCAGCTCGGCTCCATCTGCTGCTTTCTTCCTCCCAGAATACAGTTCTGTCTGCTCCACCTATCTACATTCTGCCCTATCAGGCCAAGCAGTTTCTTTATTGATTAACCAATGAAAGCAACATAAATACAGAAGAACCTGCTATACCATATCCCCAGCCTCACCTCCACCCAGCACTAGGCAACCCATACAGAGACAGAATGAAGGTTTGACAGTGGGGATTGTGACAGGACAAGTAGAAACGATATCTGTACAATAAATGTGAAAGCACAGAAAATGTCTGTGACAGTCAACTTCCATTTTGGAGGCAAAGTGGGATCTGAATTGAAGAAGGCATAGAGAAACCCAGCCCTTCCTAGGGCTGTTTGTCAGGGATGTAAGAATGGTTAAGCAGTGTGAGAAGAAACTCCACTAAGCACCATAGAAAATGTTAACTTCAGTGGCAAGTCCTTCACACTCACACACTCATTAATAAGTTTTCCTTCTTCCTATGAATAGCTTAAACTCTTGAGAACAACCACTGGAACAATGCTGTGGTTGGTTACAGAATGACCCCAGAGCTAATGTTTCCAGCACTGGTCCTCCGCTGGTCTTGCTGGTTTGGAAGCTTGTGGAAACTTACTAAGAAGGGCACATCTGGAGGAAGTAGATCCAGAGAATGTGCCCTTTATAGTTGTACTAGCTTCCAAGTCCTCATCCTGCTCTGGGGCTCTACCCTGCTGAGTACTCCAAATGTTTACCAAGTACCAGGCTGAGCAAGCAGGATCTGAAACCCTCTGGAAAGTTGTTTTTGTAGCCACTTTGTCACAATAAGAAAATTAAACCAGGTAACAGTTGTTAGATCCCTTCCCAAGTGGAAACTGCCAGCCAGGTGGCCTCCAAGACAGCCCAGTTATTTCAACACCCGCCCCCCACCAGCACTATGAGTAGCATTTGACTCCAGCAGCAGGAAGTGTGGCTGCTGACCCCAGGACTCCTGCTCCAGAAGGCTTCACTCCAGCGTGACCATCCTAAACATTCTGTATGGGTCTTGGGAGACATCACTTTTAAGATAAGACAGTCTGTGGTAAAAAGAAGCATTTTGCTGATGAGTGAGAGGTATGCTTATCTGTGGATATAGGGATAAGTATAAGAATGCAGTTAGGAGTTATATTGGTTGAGGAAAGTGATAGTAGTAATTTTTCCTCTAAGATACATGACCTCACTAGACATGGCAGTTATGATAGTTAACACTATCAGGCATTATTTTCCTGTAAAGATGTAAAAATACTAATACATTTTAATTCTTCATCTTATTGTCAGCAATTAAGAACATCACCGTCTAGACCAGTCCATCGTGCCTTTTCTCAACAAGCAGTGATTCCTTCTCATTCTTAATACTTCTTGGGACTAGGAATATGACTCCATTAGTAGAATGTTTACCTAGCAACTATGAAGCCCAAGACTCCAAGCCCAACATAAGCTTGATGTGGTGCCACATGCCTCTAAGGACATCCTCAGCTACATAGGGAGTTTTAGGCAAGTCAAGGATACCTGACACCCTGTGTCAGAGACTAAATAATCACTACCTATTGCAAAAAAGAACCTTAAGAGACTGTGGAAGTGCCCAACCCAAAGGAGAATCTTTATATCACACCCATACATGCAAGGCTGAGGGATCATGGTTGGAAGAGGGGACAGAAAACTCCCAAGAGCCAGAATGCTGGATGACTACAAGGACATCCAGCTTACTGGACAAAGCTGGGCAGTTACCTGTGGAATAATCCTTCTGTACACTGTGAATATGTTTTATTCTCATTGGTTAATAATGCTCCTTTACACTGTGTAAATATATATCACTGTGATTGGTTTAATAAGCAAGCTCACTGACCAATAGCTCAACAGTATAAAGTTATATGAGATAGTCAAACTGAGAATAATGGGAAGAAGGAGAGTCAGAGGAGTCACCAGGGGACATAGGGGAAGCAAGACATGCTGGAGGATAGGTAAAGATATAAGCCACGTGGTAAGACATAGATTAATAAAAATGAGTTAATTTAAGTTCTAAGAGCTAGTTATTAATAAGTCTGAAATATCATCTGAGCATTTATAATTTGTATTAAGGCTCTTGTGGTTATTTGGAGTGACTGCTAGGACACAGAGAAACTCTGCCTACAGTTACACTTATGAATTTAACAGCAGTTTGAGACACCATGCATAGGACAAGTGCAGGCACTCGACAGACACAATCCAGAATGCAGAGGGAGGGTGGTCATGACATCACATTCCTAGCTAAGGAGCTGTAACAACTGACAGCTGTAGTGGGGGAGAGTCAGCTTTATTTAAGGGTATGGCCAGGGTGGGTAGACATCACCCTCCAGTGAAGGCCACACATAGCAAAGTGTGTACACAGCAATTGGTTAGAGAGAGAGAGAGAGACAGAGAGACAGAAACAGAGAGAGAGACACAGAGAGAGAGACAGAGAGAGAGAGGGAGGAGGCAAAGTTGGGTGGGTAGAAAGGTGGGATAGATTGGAAAGGAGTGGGGGAGGCAGTGAATTTTTATCAAAACACATTGTACAAAAGTCTGAACAAATAAAAATAAACAAACACCCACTAGCAAGCAAGGAATAACAAAACTTCTCAAGCTTTTTAATTTCTGTCAATATTTCTGTGGATTCCCTACTGCTGAAATTCCTTCTCTTGGGGCAGGGTGTGATGTGAGCAGTGCTGCTCCCTCCTCCAAAGTATGGTTCATCCTGGGAACACACGTGTTTGCTGTGCTACTTACAGAGCGTGCAGAGGGTGTTACTAGTAGGAGCATGGGTGGCCCCAAAGCTTTCATACTGGACAGTTCACCGAATGAGCTTGATGGCTTTTCCATAGCTGCAGGACAGAGCTCAGCTTCTCCCAGTATTTCCCCACCCTAAATACTCTAGCCTGAGATCCCAAGGCCTTGTGCAGTTAGGGCAGCATTGTACAGAAATACCTGGCCACTCAAAGATCAACGACCCTTCCCACCTCATCCTCCCAGAGAGAGTGCCAGCCAAAAGGCTTCATCATGATAGACTCTTACAAAAAGGCTTGATGACCTCATGAAGATGGCAGCAGTTGGGTCCAGAGGCTAGCCCTTAGAACGATCTCTTTCCAAGCATCCATATCCCATTTCTTTATGGTATTATGGGTCTCATGTTCAGTGATGATTGCTTGAAAGCTGATTCTTCAAAAAGGAGAGCTGGTGGGAAATAAATCACATTTATTCAAGGGCCAATTCATGAATATAAAGGGTATGCCAGCACCAAAGCACCCACGTAGAGAACTCAGATATACACAGAGCTTTTATTACAGGGGGAAGGAAGACAGAACAGTGTGCTCCTGTGAGAGCTGTCTTATGATGCTGAGTGGCCTCTGTACTTCAAGGGCACATGTCTCCTTCTCTTCTTCTCCAGCTGGTGCATCACTGGTCCCTGGCCTTCTGGGGCTACTTCCTGTTGCTCACTAGACAGTCATTCTTTTCTTCAAATTAAGCCTCATGGCAAGTGACATGTTTTGTGTTATTTGACTCATAGAACCAAAGGACAAGGAGGATCTTTTCATAGTGTGGTATAATCTGAAGGAACCAGGCCTTCTAGGTTCTTTAAATGTAGAGGGATTATTTAACAGCTAACACCTTAATTGTGGACATACAATCCTTATATTTTCTCCAGAGCCAGCAAGTCTTTGCCCATTTAGTCATTTCAGTGTAGCTTCTCTTTAGAAGATATCGAGCAAAGGGAAGAGAAATATCCTTTCAAAGGACAAAGTGCAAGGGAGCTGCTGCAGCAGTGGCTTCCAGAAAGGGTGGGGCCCGTTCTTCTTTCATTACTAGGAGGTAGCCTGTGCCCCAGTTCTCGGCCTCAATTGTTTTGCACACTCAGATGATACAATTGTTTGTCTTCCTGCCTCAGATGTACTGTTATGTATGGGATCTCTCTCTCTCTTTTCTCTCTCTCTCTCTTTCTCTTTCTCTCTCATTCACTCTCACTCTTTCTTCTTCCCTCCCCCATCCCCATTTTCCTCCTTCTCCATTTCTACTCTTAACAGTGAATTGAAACAAGAAAGTACAGGATAATCATCACAGATAGGAGATGATTGGTTGTACAGTCAGCAAAGGCATCATTCTGTCTCCAGCCTTGGAGGATATCATTGACCAATTCTGATAACTGAGTCTGTAGATTACAGGAACTGCCATTTCTTGAGAATTGTTTTTGAATTTCAGCTTACAATATAGGGAAACTTATATAGAAAAGCAAGCCTCCTGTAGCTCTGGAAGCAGAAATCAACATCAGTCAAGCTGTTAAGAGTCCTGGCCAGTTGATGAAGCCCTCCATTACTCTGTCTACCCTTTGATCAAAAGGCAGTGCAGACACTTTTTCAGATTGGTTGCAAACAGAGATTCCAGTGAACTTGGCAGTGACACATGTCATCATAACCTGAGTGTGCTTTAGCCTAGTGTTAGAAATGTGAATATCTTTGGCAAATTTCTTTATAATGGAGCTCAAAATCTATCTTTTCAACATGACATTAAATTTCTATGTCAGTTTCCGAAGACTCGCAAAGTAAAGTAGGAAAAAAGTGTAAGGGGAACTGGAGGATCAGCCTGAGGATTACCACAGTTACCCATGAGTTAACAGGTAACAGAAAAGAGATGCCCCACTGCAGCTGTGGAGGTGGCCCCAGTGGCAGAAGCACTTGTGGCTCAAGCCTAGCAACAGGAGTTGAGTTCCCAGAAGGCACATGAAAGCTGCTTGAGGTGGTGCACAGCAGGAGTCATGGCATTGCCACTGAGAGGAGGGAGGGGCAGGCAGGAGACAGAGGCTAGTCTAGAGTATGCAGTGCAGACTCTTGCTTCAAGCAGACAAGAGAGAAGCTCCTCTGCAGGCTGTCCTCTGACCTCTATAGGCATGCTATGGCACTTATGTATCTGCACTGTGTGCTTGAGTGCACCTGTGAACATACATGCACGTGCACATGCACACACAAATATAAATGAAAAAATATATACTAAAATTGAATGTTAATTTCATTCAAAAAGCTTCAGTAGGAGCATACATTTCTCTAGAAAGTTCGAGTTCAGTAGACATGGTGCATCCATGTTTTAAAATGAATTACCCAGGTGATTCTTAGGCCCACCAAACTCTTGAGTACTCCTGAGCCAGAATGGACTATTCTGTTGTCTTCAGCTATTCCCAAAGAAAACAGATGGTTTGGGGTGGTCACCAACAAGTCAGTTGCAGTTTTTGTTTGTTTTGCTTTGAAGCAGAGAACTCATTCCTGAGGTGGGAGAAGCTTTTTTTCAGGTTGTTTCAAGACTAGTTGTGACTGGTCAGCCTGAGGCTGGCTGGGCAGAGTCACAGTGAGGAGGATCCTGGTCCAGCCTGAGGCTGGCTGGGCAGAGGTCATGGTGAGGAGGCTCCTGTTCTAGCCTGAGTTCCCTGAGTTCTTGCCCCATAGCAGACACAGTGTAGGTGTGTGTTGTTTGAATACAGAGATGCTTCAGCAGAGATGCTGGCTGGCATATTGCTGCAGATTGTAATGTGGAAATGCAAAAGGGAACCGATTTTTCCTTCATTGTAGCAGCAGCCACAGGAAGATTTTCCATTTCCTAACTGCCCTGATTTCAGTCATTACTGCTATTAATAGTGCTTTATCATGGATCTCTGTGAGTTTGAGGCCAGCCTGGTCTACAGAGAGAATTCCAGGACAGTCAGGCTGTTACACAGAAACTGTGTCTGGAAAAACAAAACAAAACAAAATAGTACTTTATCAGTATTTAAAATTCTCTTTCTTAGGTCCCGCCTGGGTACATTTAAACGTTCCTTGAACTTCCAGCTGTGCTGGGCGGTATGACTGTTGGTGATCTGTCAAGATGGCAGAAAATGGAAGGGGGTATGTCAGATGCAGGGATCAGAGTGGAAGTGGAGGGGCATGGCATCCCCTCCTGGTTTGCTGTCTTTCCACCGGCTTCTCAGATGTCTCATCTGTCTCTGCAAGCTACAAACAGCAAGCTACTTGTGTGCTATTTGCTTTGATCTTTGCTTCAGCAAGACTCTGTGTCAAGTAAAAATGCTGTTTATTTAGGTGGAGAATTCAAATGCATATTGTTCATCAGGATTCAATTCTATCATTATCCTAGGCTGTCTTTCTTAAGTGGTTAAGATAGACATTATTTTTATCTCAGTATGTTCAACAAAACAGTAAACACCTTTTCCACTTATTTCACAGCAAAAAAATAAAAGGCATTTATAAGCATAATGTTTTCTCTTTCAAATCAGACTAAGCAATTTACATATTTGGATTAGGATTGGATGAACTTGTGGGGTTCTAGCAATGGCTCAGTGGTTAATTGTCATGCAAAATGAGGACCAAGGGGATCCCAAGACACCATGAAAAATGTCAGTGGGCATCAAACTGCTAGTAAGAGTAGCTTTCAAGGAGATCTGGGTTTGACTTGAGGGAGCCTTCCTCCCACAAATGAATGAATGAAGACCATAAAAGAGCAGCGGAAGATGACTCCTGACAAGAATGTCGGACCTCCACAAGCACCCACAGGGAGTGCATGCTCACCCTAGCGAGGCACTCTCTTCCTTGGAGGGCCCCATGCACAGGAAAGTGGAAAAGAAGGATGAGCCTGCATTGGGCCCAGCCACTCAGCTATGTGACTTTTCCTGTTAAGCACCAGTTTTAATGTCACCCATGGAGGTGAGGCATTCGGTCATCCTCACCACCACACTCCCCATGTCCTTGCTCTCCTGACTATGTCTTTTTCTAATAATCCAGTTGTCCACTTCAAATGCTGGTGGGTGTGTGGCCATTTCCAGGAACGTGGTGGGCCTATGGGCCCACACCCTTTAAAGGAAACTGACCCCTCTATCAACTGTCCATTTCTCTTGGCTGTGATGTCTGCTTTTCAGACATAATTGAGTCTGATGCCTGGGACCCAAATAAGACAAAAATACTTCTAATGAGCTTCTTATATTCCAAAGATATTTTATACTCTATACATATCAAGAAAATTACCTATTCCTTTCAAAGAATTTTAAAAATTTCACGTGGAAATTCATAATAGAATTTTGCAACAAGCGGGGGTCATATATAAAAAACATATGATAACAGAAACTAGGTATGTAAGAAAAAGCCAAAAAGAAATCTGTAATTTTTAAGTTAACTAAGCTAAAATTTTTAAAACTATGAACATTTGTTTTTTATTTTTAATCCTGTAGTATTTAGAAGAGTTATTTCTGGGTAGTTAAGATTTTGAATTAGATGGAATTAATCAAAGATGTAGCTCTTACTATATTCATGATTTCCTTTAGTTGTCTCTGAGACAGAAGGTTTACTAAAAGAGCTGGAGAAAATGCTGCAGCAGGTACAAGAGCCCACAGCAAGAGCCGATGAACCAGGACAAGAACAGGTTGGTATGACAAGTTACCATTTGGCAGCCTCAGGATCTGTAACTGACTCTACAGTGTAATTATATAAGATACCTTTTCCTACATCTGAAATTTGAGGCATTGATTGCCACGATGCTAACAAACCAGTAGCTGTTGAGCCTTCAGAATATAGGCTTTCCTAGGAGAAAATGTGTGTGTAAGCAGAGATGGTCATTAATTTTCAGTCTTTGGGTTGGGATGGAGGATGAAGAGTAGTCCTGTGGCTGAGGTGGACCATTGTAGAGAGACCTTGTAGTAGCCATTGTGGCCATAACTGACAGAAATGACTAAAAGAGCGTGAGTCATCACGGCAGGGAGTCGTGGTGCAGAGCTCTTCATATCCTGGTGAGACAGGATGCAGAGGAAAGAGAATGCAGGAAGGGGCCAAGAGAAGATAGAGCCCTATGGACACGTGTTGTGGGAGCTAAGGGTTCAGCCAATAGCCTTGGGGTGCCAGCCTTAGGGCATCAGGGTAGATGGAAGTCGGAGTAGCATAATTAGCAAACTTACATAGACATATGATAAACCTTCCATGGCTGGATAGAAATGGTGTCAGAAATGATGCACTATCTGAAAAGTGATTCAAATCAAATTAGGAAATTATAATTTCTGATTGGAATATTTTATTGGCTTGATAGCATTAATGTTTTAAATATTCTGTTTAACAAGCATCTTTTTTTTAACCATTATATGTTGTGGTAGCTGTGCAGTTCTTTGTATATGTAGGTATTAGATTAGAAAAACTGATAAGATCATTAAGATGCACATGCTTGTTTTGACGTGATTTGAAGCTTTTCAGTGTATAGATGGAGGTGGTAAAAAGTTTTAAAAATCAGGCCAGGATTGCTCAAACATCTTTTTGGTCAAACATAACTGTTAATAGATTTAAGAGCACTTATTCCAAATAGAGCAACTACTTTTGAATAAAGCAACTATCTAGTACTTATTTTATATCAACTTTGGTTGCATTTAGGAAGTGAGTTAATGACTAGAGAATCTCTAAGTCAGGGTCAGCCTGGATATCATTGAGATCCCCAAACCAAACCAAAGGTCTAGTGGCAGAGCCCCTGCCTTGTCTGCTGGCTGCAGCACCACAAAGCAAAACAAGTATATGTTTTGCTTTTGTAATATTTTAGTCTTGTTTTTAGATAAAACTATATGAAGCATATATATTAGGACAATCATGTCGATGTGATTCATTTAGTAGATACGGTATCATGTAAACTATATTTGTCTTAAAATGGTCTTACTCTATAGCCCAAGTGCTGGGAATTTTAAATAAGAGCCACCATGCCTGGCTAGTCAGAACTTTTTCCTTCCCTTAACAGGGACTAGCATGATGTTTGCAGCACAACTTTGGTTCACTGCCATTGAAATATTTTCCAGAATATTCCTAATGGGCTATTCTTGAATCACCAACTCTGGAGACATTATTTCAAAGGTCAGATTATAGAATGCTATTAGCCCTTTAGATTCATTGTAGATAAAGCTGTGTTCAGGTCATGGTTAAAACAATGCTCAGAAGTTTATCACTAGGGGCAGGAGAGATGGCTCAGAGGTTAAGAGTACTGACTATTCTTCCAGAGGTCCTGAGTTCATTTCCCGGCAACCACATGATGGCTCATACCCATCTGGAATGAGATCTGGTGCCCTCTTCTGGCAGGCATGCATATGGACAAGAAGCCATACCCTAAGGCTGGTACTCCAAGTCTATTGGCAGACTGAGTTCCCAGAGCCCTCATAACTCCCACTTCCTAAAGCTAGGCCCCACCCTACCTGTCGCTACCTCCAACCTGTCACTACCTCCCTCCTGTTAGCACCTTTGGATTGTGACCTGATTAGCTATGTTACAAGTCTGTTAGCTCAGAGCCCCCATGGTCTATCCCTAGGAATGCCCATGCTGGCAGACATGCTTTCTAAATATCATTAATTCTGTGGAGGTTTCTTAATCCAGTCAGGCCGAGAGTCTAAGATTAACGGCAACAGACTTCTCCCATTGTTTGTGATCTTTCCAGGTAAGAGAAGTGAAGGAGGTTTCTGGAAAAGGGGAGCAGTTTGGTGGGACCCTCCTTGTCCAGGCGTGCTGAGACAAGTGCATGGCTGGCTATCGTAAAACAAAACCTCCGTGTTGACAGCAGAGCAAGAGCTCTTGGTCTTAGCTCCTAGATTCAGAAAGCCGTGTGTTCTCACTGTCCAGTATCTGCATAAATGAAGTGAGAGTCTGTGGTCATAAGTTCAGGCCGTTTATAACAGGCAGCATGGGGTCCATCAATGTGATAAAAATCAGTCTCAGTGTAGACACTTGACCCTATGGTGTAGTTGTTCTCTAAATATTACAACATGAATGGCAGCTAGAAGTTACATAAGATTTCATTAATTCTTTCAGATACATAGTGTGCCCAGAATCAGAAAGCACACCAACTGAATCTCTAGTGTAACCGTTTGAATTTAATCGCTTTATTATTATTTATTAGTAACATAAACTTAATGTAAATGCCGGTTCTACTACTGAGTTCTTGTGTCACTTGGTAGTTATTCATCCCCTGCTCTAGAGAACTGTTTAAGAATTAGGTAACACAAATTGGGGTATGTGTCAGAGGTGACAGTGGGCAGTGGTAGTCCAAAGAGAAAACCAACTCTTGTAAGAGTTCATCTCTTGTTTCGCACATTTTCTCTTCGGGCCAGTACATCCCCAGCAGTAATAGCACCTCTCTCTAAGAGCTGGGTTTAGAAATGGGCAGGTAGTTTATAGGTTTGCCAGCCTGCCAGTTTCATTTAGATCCTTAGCAAGTATGAAGACATGATCTGAGCTTTTTCCATCTGTTATTGATATAGGGTCTCCCTTGCTAGTGTAGGTTATCTGTGTACTTGAGGCTGGCCTCAAACATTAATACGCCTGCCACAGCTCTAACTCCCAAGTGCTGGAGTTGTAAGTGTTCAACACCATGCCCAGCTAAAGATGAATCTTTAACACCTTTCTTACTGAGTTAAAAATTAAGGACTGCATACAGAATTTATCATCCTAGAGATTAGTGTGTTAGAGGAAATGAACATCAGCTCCTGCTGAGTTGGAAAACACAGGAAGCTTTCTCAGGCAGCTCCAACAGCTCTACCTGGATCTCCCGATTGTGAATTGGCTTTTAAATTCTCCACAGCGGCTCCTTTATAGATGACTTCTTCCCACGTAAGGGCTGTGCTTGTAGGACATGTGTAGAGTGGTGACATGGGTCTTACGTATGTATAATTTATATACAAATTATTCCTTTCTAGAAATTATGTGCTTAGTTGAACACTGTATGGTGCATGTATGTATGGTGATGTAAATATGTGTGTATGTATAAATGTTTATAAGGTGCCCTCTTATAAGCCAAATACACCAAAAGAAAGTCAGCAGATAACTCCAGTGTCCAGACTATGTTGTCTCTGAGCAGACACTGTGTGAGCCCTTTTCAGAGGTGTAAACTTGATATTTTCTTCATTGCTGCCTGTCAGATTTCTGATGATTGCAGAGCACTGGTGCCAGCAATGAGATGGAATGTGCATACACCACAATTAAAAACTCTTTCCTATGTGCTCTGCCAGATGAGTATCCTCATCTGAACTTTCTTCCCAGGCATGCTCTTCTTTATCCAGTATTAGCACTGTTGACCGTCCATGTCTGACTTGGCAACATGGAAAGTTTAATCAAATTTTTATAAATCCACCTCATTTTTCAATGGATAATTCATATGCAAATAAGGAGGTTTACTATATAATTGTTTGGATTAAAGCTACATATTATATTTTGAACTACATGTATATTTTCATCTTTCAATTACATGAGAAGCTGGTCTAGCTGTAGTGAACCTTGACACTGAAACTCATGTTAGTATGTGTGTGGGCAGAGTGTTTTCCTACTGCCCTTCCCATCTAAGCCACAGAAAGGACTTTTTTGTCGATAATGAAGATATTCCCAAAAGACTGACCACAGAATATGTATTTGAAACTATTTTAATATATATTCCATATGATATTTTCTTTTACAAAAAACAAACCAATAGAGAAAATTCAGGTTTAGTATGATCATTCTGTTCCAAGGTTTAAACTAACAAATATAAGATGAGAAGAGGGACAAAACCTGAGCAACAACTTAGCCTTACACAAACATGTTTAATAGACTTCATACTACATATAGACCATATCACCTGACCACCTACACAGAAAACGGTGTGCACTGCTCTGCTGGAGGAGAACTAACCTCCTCAGTAATCAAGTAGGTCTGCTGCAGTTGTGATGATCCGTATAGCAGACCTCTGCAGTTGTGATGATCCTATAGCAGACCTCTGTAGTTGTGATGATCCTATAGCAGACCTCTGCAGCTGTGATGATCTGTATAGCAGACCTCTGTAGTTGTGATGATCTGTATAGCAGACCTCTGCAGCTGTGATGATCTGTATAGCAGACCTCTGTAGTTGTGATGATCCTATAGCAGACCTCTGTAGTTGTGATGATCCTATAGCAGACCTCTGCAGTTGTGATGATCTGTATAGCAGACCTCTGTAGTTGTGATGATC